TGCAGCAGGGTACGGGGTTCCGGGGAGGGATTGGGGGCGCGGGGAGGGACTGGGGGGGACATTGGGGGCACTGGGAGGGGCATTGGGGGCACTGGGAGGGACTGGGAAGAACTTGGAGGCACTGGGAGGGGCACTGGGAGGGACTGGGAGGGGCATTGGGGGGACTGGGAGGGGCATTGGGGGCATTGGGGGGACTGGAAGAATTTGGGGGCACTGGGAGGAACTGGGGGTCATTGAAAGGGTCATTGGAGGTACTGGGAGGAAAATTGGTGGCACTGGGATTTTGGGGTGCTGTGGGTGCACTCACCCTTGAGGTGATTTTGGGGGCTCAGAATCCCCCCGTGTTTGGATTTTGGGGTGCTGTAGGTGTTCCCCTCGAGGTGATTTTGGGGTGCTGTGTCCCCCCCGATGGGGTTTTGGGGGTTCAGGGTTCCCCCTGATGGGATTTTGGGGTGCTGTAGGTGTCCCCCCCGAGGTGATTTTGGGGTGCTGTGTCCCCCAGGACGGCTGGAGCTGGTCGGGGGGGGGCTGGTGCATGAACGACTGCTCACTACGGGGGGGCCCTGCAGCAGCTGGAGGGATTTTGGGGTTCAGGGTCCCCCCCGAGGTGATTTTGGGGTGCTGTGTCCCCCCAGGACGGCTGGAGCTGGTCGGGGGGGGCTGGTGCATGAACGACGAGGCCGCGGCTCACTACGGGGGGGCCCTGCAGCAGCTGGCCCTGGGCCGGCGCTTCCTGCGCCGCCTCTTCGGGGGCTGCGGCACGCCGCGCGTGGCCTGGCAGATCGACCCCTTCGGGCACGCCCGCGAGCTGGCCGCCACCTTCGCCCAGGTGGGGCACCCCGGCACCCCGACCTGGGGAGCCCCGGGGCTTCCTGGGCATCCCCAGAGCTTCTCCTGCATCCCCAAACCTCCCCGGGCATCCTCAGAGCTTCCCAAACCTCCCCGGGCATCCCCAGAGCTTCCCAAACCTCCCCGGGCATCCTCAGAGGTTCCTGGGCATCCTCAGAGCTTCCTGAGCATCCCCAAACCTTCTCCTGCATCCCCAAACCTTCTCCTGCATCCCCGGAGCTTCCTGAGCATCCCCAGAGCTTCCCAAACCTCCCCGGGCATCCCCGGAGCTTCCTGGGCATCCCCAGAGCTTCTCCTGCATCCCCAAACCTTCTCGTGCATCCCCGGAGCTTCCTGAGCATCCCCAGAGCTTCCCAAACCTTCCCCTGCATCCCCAGAGCTTCCTGAGCATCCCCAAACCTCCCCAGGGTATCCCCAAACCTTCCCCTGCATCCCCAGAGCTTCCCAAACCTTCTCGTGCATCCCCGGAGCTTCCTGGGCATCCCCAGAGCTTCCCAAACCTTCTCCTGCATCCCCAAACCTCCCCAGAGCTTCCCAAACCTTCTCGTGCATCCCCGGAGCTTCCTGAGCATCCCCAGAACTTCCCAAACCTTCCCCTGCATCCCCGGAGCTTCCTGGGCATCCCCAGAGCTTCCCAAACCTCCCCGGGCATCCCCAGAGCTTCCCAAACCTTCTCCTGCATCCCTGGAGCTTCCTGAGCATCCCCAAACCTTTTCCTGCATCCCCAGAGCTTTCCAAACCTCCTCCTGCATCCCCAAACTTTCTCCTGCATCCCCAAACCTTTTCCTCCATCCCCGGAGTTTCCCAAATCTTCCCGTACACCCCAGGCCTTCTCCTGCATCCCCAAATCACCCTTGGGATCCCCAAACCCTCCCCTGCACCCCAAAACCTTCCCTGGCACTCCCAACCTTCTCAGCACCCCCAAACTCCACCTTCGCATTCCCAACGACCCCCTGTGCCCCCCAGATGGGCTGTGATGGGCCCTTTGTGGGGATTTGGGGACCCCCCTGACTCCAGTGCCCCCCGTGCCCCCCCGTTGGGCTCTTTGTGGGGCTTTGATTGCCCCCCGTGCCCCCCAGATGGGCTGTTCGTGGGGCTTTGGGGAACCCCCTGACCCCGTGCCCCCCGTGCCCCCCAGATGGGCTACGACGGGCTCTTCGTGGGCCGTGTGGACTACCAGGACAAGTGGGCGCGGCAGCAGCGCCGGGAGCTGGAGCTGCTCTGGAGGGGCAGCGAGAGCCTGGCCCCCCCCCCGGCTGGCATCTTCACCCGTGACCCCCCGGGACCCCAAAATGCCCCTGGGACCCCTGACAGGGACCCCCAAACTGTCCTTGTCCCCCTGGGACCCCTGACAGGGACCCCCAAACTGTCCTTGTCCCCCTGGGACCCCCAAA